AAGAGAGAGAGAGAAAAAAACCACAACAATATTTGCTATATATTTATATAATATGATAGAAAAGTACCGTTTTGCATATTTTATGATTTTAGTTGTATTGTTTTGCAAAACAAACTCTACTCACATAATCACCAACTGGGTTGTAAATAATTAATTTGACACGACAAAACTTATCAGCCAAGAAACAAATCTATAATACGAATTTACTCAAGTCCGACACTCGTACTAATAATAAAAAAATTATAAATAATGTTTACATTATTTTACGTGATAATATTATATCCTTAATAAAGTTGTACTATCTAATTTGATACCAATATAAATGAGACAACATACACTTTCATTGAATTCTCTACACCTTGAGGGAGCAATTATAATAGTATTGTGAATTCTGTAATTTCCCTCATTATTTTAGAATTACTTCATAACATTTATTACCTAAAATTGTATTATTGTATAAATTTTTTGGTAGTTAATTATCATACAAACTATTTTTATAACATATACCAAATCATGATATAGTAACCAATTTATGTGTAATGAGTTTTTTTTTTTTTTTTTTTTTTTTGGTTAATATAAATATTTAATTGTAATTTTTTAATAAATATTTTAATTGTAGGTCGGTGACTCCCTTGTTCTCTAGCTTCTCGGAGCCTGCGTTTCAACCCGACGTTGAAGACTGCAACTGCGATTCCAGATTGAGATTTCCTGCAATGAGTGAGTGAGTGACGGAGAATCTTCCCAAGTGAGTGAAGGAAATGGGCGCACTTTGCGGCGGCGGCGGCGGCGGCGGCGGCGGCGGCAACCGCGATACGTGGGATCGATTCTCCGACCGGTGTTTTCGCCTCTTCCCCTGCGTCTCCGATCCCGGTAACTAAATTAATCGGTTCTCTCTATAGCTACACGTGATTTTACACGCGCAGTGCGTGTGTTTGAGCTCGTAGTCTGTTGAATTTGAAGTTTGAAACATTTTTTTTGGGTCTTAGCTCGGAGAGCTACGCTGGGATTGAAAGTAGCGTTGGTTATGCTGCACGTGGTCTACGCCGGTGTTCTATTTATTATTAACAAAGAGTTGGTTGAGAAAACGCGACAAGAGCCATGGTAATGATGGTGTATTTGACTCTGTTCTGAGTTTTTGATCTTTTTGGTTAGTTGGGGTTTAATTTGGCTGAGAATTGCTTTCTTTGCACGGCATAAATATATATGAAATTATAGGTACTGAGATTTATGTTTAGCTACTGAAGGGAATTGCTAATTTTCTAGGTGCTGAGGATTGACTGGTAACTAACTCTATGGTAATAGCAATGTGTTTTGTTGATAATATTGGATTTATAAATGCATTTAGTGAGTGAAGTCTCAATACCATTACATCCAATTTAGTATTTTCGCTAGCTTTAACTAGAGAGATCATGATTCTTACTCGAGAGTGAAGTCTCAACCCTTCTGGTCTTTTGGTTGTGTAGTGTCAGACTGATATTTTAACATTTTGATTATTGTTGGGGGAAATTTAATGGAATGAAGCCAATGGATGAAGCAAAATGTATTTTGTGGACTATTGGTAATTTGGTATGGATATTAATTTCTTCTAATTTCTGCTGATAAAATTGAAAATAACCTTCCTATTGTTAATTGATTTTTTTCTGATAGGTATACAGCGATGTATTTATTGTTGTTTATTGTTACACTGGCTCAGTATTTCATCACTTCTGGCTCCTCTCCTGGGTAATTTTTTTTTTCTTTTCTTTTTTGTTTTATATCCATCATTATTGCATTTCATTACGCTTGGTTTGGAGTGCCCATAGTATAGAAAGGTTTCTATTCTGAGGACAACTTTAACCTCATTTCCCTTTTCTTTTGGAAAAATATAGGTATGTTCTTGATGCAATGAGGGCTGTGAATGAGGAAGGTGCCTTGTCTAATAGGATGTCAGTGGCCTCAAAGTAAGAGAACTATCCTTCTGATTGTGTATACATGTATGTAAAGAAAAAGACATTTAATGAATTTGGGAAGAATTCTGTTATCTTATATGATTACGTAAAGTGTTACAAGGCCAGAAAGCTTCTTCAATAATCAGCTAATAATTATTGATTTTTTATGCTGCTTATCTTGATGTTGAATGATCAAGCAAAGGCAACCTGCTTCAAGCAAAAATGGCAGTGTAGTTATTACAATTGATCAGAGCAAGGTGGGCAGAGATCTTTTAGATAGTAATGCGACATCTTGGACAAAGCTTGTGATGGATATGTACCCCCATGGAACATCTGTTAGGTCGGTGAGTGGTTTAATCATTATGGTTATGTTTTTCTTATTGTTCCTTACCCATTGTCAATGCTCTGCAACTATCTTATTGGCTCTACATCAAAATCCTTCAATTTTCATGACTAATTTATTCCTGGTGTTTTTCAGAACTGTGACATGCACTCACTGTAATGCCCTGCAGGTAGAGTGTCTTTCTATTTTATTTTATTTTATTTTATCTTTTGTGTGTTTGAAAATGGCCGTTCACTTCAGTGCACTATAATTATGATTGTACTTTTCACATTATTAGGAAATTAATTACAGTTCAAGCAATACAATCCTATTCACGTTTCTTCCCTTGGAAAATTTATGCAGCCCCCGCGAACTAAACACTGTCAGGACTGTGACAAATGTGTTCTCCAGTTTGATCATCATTGTGTTTGGCTTGGGACATGTATAGGGCAGGGTAATCACTGCAAATTTTGGTAAGTGTACATTATTCTATGTGATGCAGACCTACAGTATGTCTGCTGAATCGAACATCTTTCTGCTAATTCTTTTAAAAATAATTTTCTATACTTCATTTGCCCACATATGGAAAGTTTGTGAACACCCTTTATTTATTATTTTATACTAGGTGGTACATTAGTGAGGAAACCGCCTTGTGCATTTGGACTGGCATCTTATACATTCAATACCTCAAGTCTAATATATCAAAGCCCTGGTATGTATCTGTCGTTGACATTTTTGTCTTGATACATCTTTCACTTTTTTCCTCGTTTCTGGTCTATTTACGACTCAAAGATAACTTTGTCTTAATCCCATCATATATTTCCTTGGCCCTTGATATAGAACTTAATGGTAAAAGGAGGATTCTTGTAATATCTCAAATCCATGATATTCATGGGTTATTATATTCTATAGTTTTATGTTTCTATGTTAAATATGAGACAGTTGTGAAATATTCATTATTTCACGAAATGATAAACCATATTTGTGATGCCTTGAAATGACTAGCTCAATTTAAACATCCAATTAACATTATTTAATGGAGCATTTTTTCCTCAAATTTCAGGTGGATATACACATTTGTGATATTGTTGTTAGCTGTTTTATTCGTATGCCTCGTGTTTTTGCTTCTCCTCCTACTTTTCCATAGGTGAGTATTTTCTTCACTTTTAGTATTTATCAGAGCAGTAGGAGCCCACCATTTAGATCTATGGTTCTTCTGTGCTGTAATAACCTATAATATACTGAACTGAATTTTTATCTTGAACAGCTACCTTGTTTTGACAAACCAGACCACCTACGAGCTTGTAAGGAGGCGACGCATCCAATATTTAAGGTCAGTTTCCATTTTGCTTCCTAATGATATGATATCGCACAAATGCTTTGCTAAAAGGTTGAGCTCACTGTACAAGTCTCCCACGTCATTCAGGGACCAAGATATAGAGATAGATGCACACACAAGACAACTTTTGAAACTGGTTCCAAAGTTTCAAAACTCTCAACACTCAGCCAATGGATTAACTGAAATGACTTTGAATGCTTTGCTATCAAAAGATTGATCAATAGTAGTTACTGCAAACACGTCAAGATAGGTTACCAAATGAAAAATGATGAATGATTCTAAAACACAGATTGATATGCAATGCAGGGGGATTCCTGAAAGAGTGTTTCCATTTAGCAAAGGAGCATGCAGAAACTTGTACGACTTTTGCTGCGCTCCAAGCAACATATACAGGATGGAGCCACTACCAACAGCGCGGGAAATTGAAGAGAAGTCAAGACCCTATACATGCTTCGATATCTTGTCTTGTCGCTGCTGTTGTTAATAGCTCTGCCCATCTACCCCCCTCCCTTGTTACAAAATGTTCCCCTCAGATGTACTTTTGTTATTTGTCTCACCCCCTCACCCGCCACACACCTTATGATTCAAATATGCTTGTGTATTTCCCTGTCTGTATTTGTCACACAATTCTTTGGAGAAATGATAAACTGATTGCTTCCTTTGCTTTAGCACTCTCGTTGCAAGATCATACTAAATTACTGTCAAAGTCTTTTGCCAAAGCTTTCTCTAGTACAGATATCCTTTACTTAAAATGGCTCATCCACAACTTGTTATTGCTATATATATATATATATATATATATATATATATATATATATATATATATATATATATATATATATATATATATATATATATATATATATAGTGATTTGTTCAAATCATTGATCATAACTATTTATTAGGATTTATTAATGGTTAAAAAATTTAGTAAAAAAGAAAAATGAAATTAATTTTATAATTATTGTAAATTTTTAAATTTGTAAAATTGATCCGCATATTTTCCTCTTAATTTTTTGCCTTTTTTGCCATCTGAACTGTTGATCTACTGAATGAATGGATCAGTCTTTTTTTTAGAGCAATACGCATATACATTTATAATAAATTTATTATGAATAATATATTATTATTATTAGCAGCAGTGTAGTCGTGTGCAACAGTTTGCACAATCAATCTTAGTTGTGTTGCTCCCTACCTAGTGCCCAAGGCTTCAAGTTGCACACTAGGTGTGACCAATGGGGAAACAAGCAAACCTTAATTCAAACCTCCTAACGTGACAATGGTTAGTCTTCCCTTAAAATAACCCATTATTATATTTTATTATGGTAAAAATCTCACCATAATACCATCGTTAACAATCCTATTAATTCAAAAACCAGCATCCGTCCGTCCTAATACTCTTCTACTCATCTATGCCCATATAATCAGCGTTCAAACGATGAACCAATGTAGTGTGTTTCCCTACCGCAGAAAACTTATGTTTACAGTTACAACAGATACTGGATAAGTCCTTCACATTATCCACTAGGTGAAGCTTGAAAAAGACATTGCACTTCATCTTACAATATGATGCTTCAGAATCACAGTTCCACTCAAGCAAGAGAAACATTGATAATACATGACCGATGACGAAGCCGCCATTGGAAACTCCAAACCCCTCCTCCCCAGTAGTTTCCTTCTCCATAACCAATGCTCCAAAGCTTCCTTTCCCACACCACAGTTCATAGGTAGTAGTAGTAGATGACAGTATAAGCTACGACGACGAGGTCAGAATATCAGCAGCCATCATTAGCAAAAGTTGCAGTCTGCAAGTTCGATCATCATTCTGTGGTGTCTAGCGTTTGCTCTTGTCGTCTTTCACGCTCTTGTCGTCCTTGTCACTCATGTGAGGCGTATATTGGCTTGTAGAAGACGGTGAATACCCAGGTGCACTGGGAGAGTAACCTGCGCTTGGACTGGAGACGAGCAAAAGCAGAGTTTACATGCAGGAGTAAAATAAAGTTGAACATATTCCAACTCATTGAAACTACGCCTTACATACCTGTACGGAGGAGAACTAGGGCTGTAGTCCGGACTTGCAGCAGAGTTGTATGGGCTGAAATATCATAGAAACAAAAATTAGATCTAGTCTTCATACAACCATGTTACACTAGTGTTACCATCTCCTGCGTATTTCTTTTCATGTACTCCAAACAATTAAAATAGATGTGGAAATTACCTGCTTGGACTATATGTTGGGCTTGAAGGTGAATAATTTGGAGATGTCGGTGAGTATGATGGTGATGTAGGACTGCAACACAAGTCATATTAGCTAAATTGGAAAAGCAAAATGACATTTGACATGAATTGTGAAGCATACTATATTACCAACTTCCCCCATAAATCAATTAGCTCTATTATCCAATCCGTCAGTTATTTAATAATTTTTTTTAAAAAAATAATAATAAAACCAGTAAACATGGATTAGTCAATCTCTTAAACAAAAGTTGATCTCTATGTCTTCTACAATCTAAATATATTGAGGAAACATTCAAATTACCTGTAACTTGGGGAAGAAGGGCTGTAAGGACTAGAAGGAGAAATCTTGGGACTGGTAGGCGAGTACGCAATTGATGGACTGTATCTCGCTGAAGGATTGTAGCTCGGTGAGGTGGGACTATATGATGGGGATGTTGGGCTGTAGCTCGGTGATGTGGGACTGTACCCAGGAGAGGTGGGACTGTACGCTGGTGATGTTGGACTGTAGGATGGTGATGTTGGACTATATGAAGGTGACGTTGGGCTATATGATGGTGAGGTTGGGCTGTAAGATGGAGAGGTGGGGCTGTAGGACGGTGATGTTGGGCTGTAAGATGGAGATGTTGGGCTATAGGCAGGAGAGGTTGGGCTGTATGCAGGAGAGGTTGGGCTGTAACTAGGAGATGTAGGGCTGTAACTTGGTGACGTAGGACTGTAGCTTGGAGAAGTGGGTGAATATGACGGACTGGTTGGAGAATATGCAGGACTAGTGGGGCTGTAACCAGGGGAACTAGGACTATAGGTGGGTGAAGTGGGGCTGTATCCTGGGGAAGTGGGGCTGTACCCGGGGGATGTGGGGCTGTATCCTGGAGACGTGGGGCTGTATCCAGGTGAAGATGGACTGTATCCAGGCGATGATGGACTATATCCAGGGGATGAAGTGGGTGAGAAAGCCATTCCAGTAACATAAGGAGAAAACTGAGCATCCGAAGAGGGTGACATCCGGAGATTAGGGCTCAGCATTGGAGACATAAGACCATCATGATGGTAGGGGGTTCCACTGATTGGAGAACGAGCAGGTGTCATGCCAAATTCAAGACCACCGTCCATGTAACTAGGCAGTGGGATTTCTATAGCTTGTTTCAACATCTCCTCATTGAGGTACAAAGCACAGTCACCGGTGCCTATTGGTGCAAGCTGACCCAACATAATGTTTTCAGTAACACCCCTCAAATAATCTGCTTCAGCGTACACAGCAGCATCAAGAAGAATGTCTACAGTTTCTTCAAATGAGCATCTCATCATGGGCCCAGTATCATTGCGATTGATTCCATGACGAGTAATTGCCATCAAATGACCACGATAGGTCATGGTGTCACACAAAATGGCTAAATGTCTATAATTCACATAAGAACCATCAAAAGATATGACGGCACGCAATTCATCGAGCAATGACTTGCGAACTGCTTCAATTCCAAGAATCTCAATCACTTCTATCAAGTGATTACTTGTGGTTCTCTTAGCATCAACATCTTCATGACACATAACAGCTAGAAGGTTCACACCCTCTGTGTCCAACATCCATTCAGTCTCCGCTTTAAACCCTTCATTCATATCAAACTTTTGTACTTTTGTATTCTTAATGAACACTTTGTTTATGTCAGGGATGCCGCGGAGAGCCATCTCAGTTAACATGTTACTCTCTATCTTCTTGAGGAAAACATCATCCTCAGCAGATTCATCAGTCAGTTCACCCTTGGGAGCTTCATCATTCATGATGCGAATACGAAGAATCAGTTTCTCAGCATTATCATCATTAAAGATGCAGGTCAGGTCATCATCAAATTCAAGGTTGACCTTTTCTGCAATATCAGCCATGCTAAGCTTCTTGTCTACCATCATTTCACGATTCAACTCAATGCGAAGCAACCAAGGAGAGATCTTATCAGGGTCAATATCTTCATCTGGCATTTCATAATAGGACTTAACAAACTCAACATCTTCCGGAATGAGTGTGCTCATAGGATCTGGATCATACCACACTTCTGTAGCTTGTGTTACACTCCTCAAGGTGGTATACTCCAGAGCACACTGCACAGTTTTAGCTCTTTCTTTTGTTTTAGCCACTTCTGGCTTCAAGTACACAGAAAGCGATGGGGTTTTAATTTTCTTTGCCACATTAATGATCTCCCTCAACCTTGGTACACCTAAAGTAACATTCTTGGCACTGACACCAGCATAATGGAATGTATTAAGAGTCATTTGTGTGGCAGGCTCACCTATGGACTGTGCAGCAACACAACCAATCATTTCTCCAGGTGCTACAAGTGATTGTAAAAAGCGGGATTCGATTTCCCCTATAACCCAATCAAAAGCTTCCCTAGTAAGCCTGTACTCCTTTAGAACCCTTTTACTGGCCAAGGCACTACGAAGCAAAATATTGAAGAAAAGTGTAGCATTTTTTTGAGCTTCTATGCTGAGATAGTCATCACCATGAACAACCTTAAGCCTTTCCTGTAACTTGTCAACAGCTTCCACAATCTCCATAGGATGCATGTCAGATGGCCTTCGGAAGTCAATCCTAAAAGTCTTTTGAGCATTTAAGACCATCCTCTGAATGTTAACAGGGAGTGGCCAACTGTTATCACCATTAACAGCAATCTCTGTTCCAAGTTGCAATCTATCAGATTCAAGCTTCTGAACCTCAGCATCAAAGACGCTGCGGATCTCCCGTATTGTTCTCAAATCATCAATAGCATCTGGGATCATGTAATTTGGATTCCAGTTTGGATCATCAATCTCATATTTGTACATGTTCTCAAAAGTTGATTTCTTCACTTTCAAGGACTCAAGCTTTTGTGATTCAATCCAAACTGCATCCATACCATCTTCCCCATAAAGAAACTGTATAACATCTCCTAAAGAGTTCCTCACAGTACCATCATATTTGACCATGATATCTTCCATGGCCTTTACAAGTCGCCTCTGGATGTATCCAGTCTCAGAAGTTTTCACAGCAGTATCAATCAGACCTTCTCTACCTCCCATAGCATGGAAAAAGAACTCCTGTGGAGTCAGTCCTCGTAAATAAGAGTTCTCGACAAAGCCACGACTTTCTGGACCATTGTCATCCTTGGTAAAATGAGGCAGCGTCCTTCCTATGAACCCAAAGGGAATTCGCTTCCCTTCAACGTTCTGCTGCCCCACACAGGCAGTCATTTGTGAAATGTTGATAAAACTTCCTTTTGATCCAGCAGTAACCATAGCTTTAAGATTATTGCTCTCTGCTAAACTCTTCTCAGCAAAAGTTCCAGCATCATCACGAGCCTTATTCAAAACCTGAATGAATATACACACAGAAGATCTCAGATTTTAAGAGCAACCAGCTACAGAAAGATTAGTATTAAAAAGGAGGAAAACAACATCCAATGTTTGTGGCTGGAGTACCTGATTTACTCTATTCTCAAATGTTTCAGCCATCGTTCGACCAGGTTCAGCCTCTAACTGTTTATCTTGATAAACATCGATAAGTTCTTTGACTTTGTTCTTTGCATCTGAGATAGTTATATTGATATTTTCCATGGTTCTAGAATCAGCAATTGTATCCCCTATTCCAATACTAAAACCTTGTTGCAAGAGCCAATAGTTAACCAGCCACTGAGTATGTCCCAAAAATTTGCGAGCTGCATCAGGTCCTACCTCTTCCCTGTGTGCAGAAGTAAATGGTCAGTTATCAGAAATATCAAATGATATGACACGATTCCTGTATTTACCAAAACTCCATAATCAACTTAAGTGCAAGTATTTTGTTAAATAGAACAAATTAAAGATCAGTCTTGATGTTTTATGCAGCACAAGATGATAATCATCAAGAAGAATGAATGAAAATTTTAATATTCCTTTTTCAGTACAACAAAAGTGCAAGGATAATCTGTACAATGGACTCATCAAATCTGTACAAGTCACACGACCAAAAAGGCACTAACAAACAGATATCTGATGAAGATTCATACCAGATAACATGTATTAGACCTCCACTGGATGTCCCAAGACTCTTCTTGCAAAGAGTTCCAGAAAGCAACTCCCCTTTTTCTATTCTAACTTGAGTGTCCCCCGGAGTAATGTACCCTGTTTCTGCATCTGAATGCCAAGCAGAATATCTCAAGAGATTTATCTGTTTTGGTATGATAAGATTAAAAACTTGTTTCCCTGTCCAAAGTGGCCTGGGTTTCAAAATTGCTGGAGCAGGAACCTTTCCATCAAAATCCTCCCACCACATCAATATGTTCATAAAAACATCCTGCAGACAATGAGAAAAGCTCTCTGCTATGATAAAATAAAATTCAAATTTTTTAAAAAAATAATTAAAATTCCCATGGGTTTAAGAAATTAAAGCAATAACTTTTGGCCATTACCTTCTCAATGAAAGTGTCTCTTTTAGTAACTTTGCGACAACCTAGAAGAGTGTCCTGGACAATTCCCATAACAGGTCGATTTGCCTGGGGCGACACAATGCACTTGGGGACCATCATGAGTTCCAGTACTTCCGCTCTAGTTTCAAATGACTGCGGAACATGCATGTTCATCTCATCACCATCAAAATCAGCATTGTAAGGTGAGGTGACAGACAAATTCAAACGAAAAGTTGAGTATGGCATGATTTTTATCCTATGTCCCATTATAGACATCTTATGCAGACTAGGTTGCCGGTTGAACAGAACAAAATCTCCATCATTCAAGTGCCGCTCCACCTGAATCAATTTCATAAGGTTAAGTGCAGTCCAAACTCCAAAAAAAAAAAAAAAAAAAGAGCAAGCCTCGTATATCTATAGTTAATTAGTTATCAAGGTCTGTAACACAAGGAAGTTCACCTTATATCCAAGCTCAAGGTGTTGATCACTGCTCTTCTTCAAGTAACGGAGATCAAGCCTTTGTCCGTCATCTCTGATTATATACTTGGCCCCAGTTTTACCAGGTGGGGGATGAGGACCATATTCAACAAGTTCCTTCAACCTGTTTAAGGAACAGTTATAATGATCAAGTAAGCATACTGCTATTGTCTTCCAGAGTAAGGAGAGATGACTTCTTAGAAAATTTACAACAAACCTCTCAATGTTATACGGTGTCACAGTTTCTGGATAAGTGAGATTCAGAGCAATACTCCATGGGACTCCCAATTGATCAATGTTAATAGTTGGATCAGGAGTGATCACAGTCCGAGCAGAAAAATCCACACGTTTACCCATCAAGTTACCTCTGATTCGACCCTCTTTTGCTTTTAATCTGCTACATATTGATTTGATAGGTCTACCAGATCTTTGAGTAGCCTGAATAGCAAAACAGGTAATTCAATCACTTAAAAAACAATACAGTTTGAAGATGTTTGAAAAATCATAAATCAGTCATACCCTTGGTTGACCAGGAAGTTCATTATCAAAATAAGTAGCAATATGAAACTGCAATAACTGTGCAAACTCAGATATGATGTGTGCAGGCGCCCCATTCCGTTCCTGCCTCTTTAAGTTCTCATTATGCCGAATAACCATAGCTAGCTGATGAGTCAAATCATCCTACACCAATATTAAGGAATCAATACCCACCCACAATCCAAAAAATCTATTCCATTGGTGTGAACACAGACCAATGTAAAAATGAAGCAAAAGGCAAGCAAGGAACTACTAGTGGCAATTTCCAAATCTGGTCCAGAAATCATTAAAAACATCAATGGTAAATGCTTACCTCACTCCGGGATGATGTATCCATCATTACAGAAGGCCTAACTGGTGGCGGGGGTATGGGAAGTACTTGAAGAATCATCCAGTCTGGACGAGCATATTTGGGGTTCAGCCCTAACAATTGACAGTCTTCATCACTTATCCGCTTCAGAATGCTGAGAACCTGTTGGGCGTTTCCAATATTGATAAGAAATTTAGAATCAACCATAAAAGCCGCAAGAGGTCCTCAAACACAAAAGGCTTTTATTTTCAGTGAGGCTTACCTTTTCTGCAGTAAGTTGTTGTTTCCGTTCAACTGGCTCAGGCATCTGTTCCGGATCATCATTCTTCTTCTTTTGGAGTTTATATTCAGCAACCATTTTCATACCATCTATGCTAATTTTGGGCTGTTGAGCTCCACAACCACCCTTAGGCTTCTTTACAGGTTCTTCAGAATCTTGCCCTTGTAAATTTATTTCGTCCCCTCCTTCACATTTCGTTTTGTTTTTGCATGCATCCAAAATCTTTTTTAGCTTGTTCTTAGGATTTCGTATCCTCATTGCTTGTTTGAATTTGGGTTCGTCCTGCAAATAGGACCATCATTAATATTAATCTTAAATACACCTATCAGCGACACAAACCTGATATTATTGATGTCATCAATTTACAAGATCATTGTATGACATTCTAGGCTTAACCACATATTTCGCAGGATCATCTTCATTAATATCTAAATAAAGAAGCTTTGGAACTCAAGCTAATTAGCATCATTCATTTTCGAGTCTCATAGCCGCATGCCTAAAATTTCTATGAGTGATCTTGAGAGCATCAATCCTCTCTGATCTAAACCCTAACTCCAGGTATACTTCCCACCCGAAAAGCGGGGTAATGTTTGTTCAGAAAACTTACTCATAGTTAGTGGGTGCAAAAATATTTAGCAGGTATAGGTTAAAGAAGTTTTGGAACTCAAGCTAATTAGCAATCCTTCATTTTCGAGTCTCATTGGGGCATGCTTAAAATTTCTATGAGTGATCTTGAGAGCATCAAATCCTCTCTGATCTAAACCCTAACTCCAGGTATACTTCCCACCTGGAAAGCCTGGTAATGTTTGTTCAGTTAACTTACTCTCATAGTTAGTGGGTGAAAAAATATTTAGCTGGCTATAATGGTTCTCTTTACATCATACTGCAATTCTCATGAGATCAGTAAAATGCATGTCTTGAAGACATCAAATAACTTTGGAGGCCACCAAAGTACCTCATCTGCTAGTATTTTGGAGCAATTGAAGCAGACGCAACGAAGAATACTAAGCACAGTTTTCATGAATCCAATATGAAACATTGGCTTAGCAAGCTCGAGGTGACCAAAGTGCCCAGGGCACTCCGCCATGTTTGCCATACAAGTCTCGCACTTGAGCTTCCGGTCAATGGTCCCAAGCCTCTGGTCGCTCAGACCACCGGGCTTCGGCTTTCCTCTCTCCGTCGTCTCACTGTGCTCAATATGCACCACTGACATTTGCCGCTGCAAAACAATTCGAAAGTAACAAACAATGAATTTGGAATCCGAGTTTAGAGCTAACAGAAACAGTGAAGAAAACTGCCGCGAACTCGTGGAAATTCAGAGAAGTGGAATTACGATTTCATCGGGGCTCAGTATGCCGAACTGGACCAGCCGGACCTTGGCGACCTCCGCCGGCGAGAACGGAAAGCGCAAATCCATGGCGGCCAATTAACAGCGCCAATCGAATTCTAGATTCTAGGGTTGATCTGTTCTCTGCATAAAAATCAAAGAAATGAATACTGTTTTCCTCAAATTCTCTCTGCGTTCGATTCGTGTATATATATATAGCTTTGGTCAATTGTTATTTCGGTGAAATCAGTCGATCTTTGCTCTCTGCTCTCTCCTCTCAATAGAGAAGAAGGGTTCGACCAAAGTGATTTCTGAGCTTCGAGGGGCCTTATATAGCAGTAGGGCCGACAAGGGTTTCTGATTATCTGAGCGTTAAATCTGACCCCTGTATTTTGTAATAATTGCAAAACCAACCCGTATCTCTATTCTTTAACCCTTAAACCCCAAGAAGTCAAGCCCCCATCCTTGACACGCCACGTGTCCACTCCATACAAGCTTTGTGCAATTGTGCTAAAACATACTCCGTAAGATTTATTTTTGGGATCATCACTCTACTAGTCTTGCTTCTTTTTCCAAGCTAATTTGTCACATGTTGATTTTAATTTTCTTAATAAGTTTCTATAATCCAACTTATTGATGATGTCAAACTCAAGTGTTTTTACAAAAAAAAAGTTATAACTAGTATTGAAAAAACATTATATTTTCTTAGATTTACATGACAAGACTGTCAGTGTCATGTCACATATATAGGTAATAAGATGTTGAACTTAATCCTTTATACCTTTGCTTAACATATGACAATATCAACATCTATGAAATTTTACAAGGATTATGGTGTTGTTTGGTAATATAATTATCTTATTAGCTAATCAATATGAATATTTGATTAATTAGCTTTTTTGTAACAACTTACTCCAAAACGCTAAAATTCAAAAAAAAAAAAATGTTTAAAACAGCTTTTTCGATCAACTTTTTGAAGAAAAAAAAAAACCATTTTTCATGTAATCATTATCAACCAATTTATCAAACATCTTTCTACAATTAGCTAATGCTATCAGCTAGTCAAAATCACTAACCCAATTAACTACAACTATTTACCAAACACCCTCCATAACTCTTTGATCATATAATTATTGCTTTGGCTTGAGCTACCCAACCTATTCTATTTTTTTTCTTAGTTGCATTTGTTATTGTTTTTTCTTTTAGATGATATTGTTAGTACTACAAATTATATCGGATGATGCTCCATTATTAGAGACAAGTTGTTCTCATTGTGATAGTGATGTTTTGAACTCTGGTACACCGGTTATTACTACGAAAAAAGATTTTATTTTCTCATAAATATTAATAACATTCTCCGAAAGCTTACTTGTCATCAGTTTCTCAACATATATTCTAATTTCTTCTCCACTACCACGACCCAAAATATCAAGATCCTGCGCACCAGCTATTTCAGTTGCAAATCTAACACACCTCTTAGAATAACATGGCCGGCCGTATCAGATCAAAGATTAAAGTCATATCATCAGTCAAAATCATGTCCACATTTTGACAAATTGACACACCTCTTAGAATAACATGGCCGGCCGTATCAGATCAAAGATTAAAGTCATATCATCAGTCAAAATCATGTCCACATTTTGACAAATTGACACGTGCCAGATAACGTGCCAGATAATCACATTTTGAGAAGATAATGTAAGAGTGATTAGGAAAGAGAAAGTAGGAAGTGGAGGAAAAAAGGAAAAAAAATAATAACAAAATTGAAATTTAAAAAAAAATAAAAATAAAAAAATGAAGCGTCAGGCGCGCTATTTGACGTGTCACGCATGGCATCCTGCTTTTTCTTTTTCTTTTTTTTTTTTTGTTTTCTGTCATTCACCCCAAATTTGCAGGACAAATAACTTCTCAATTAATCTTGCAAATAACTTTTCAATTAACCTCAACCCACATCTATAAATAACCCTGCTCAAGTTATTTCTTCTTACATTAACCCCATATTATGCTCTATTGTGGTTGCTCTTATACACAAAAAAGAACACAAAACCAAAAGAAAGCAGCATAAAGTGAAGTATTTTGAGAACTCAGGAAACTGGTGTTAGCATTATAGAATTGCAACCTGTTGCAATAATTTTTGTTTTTTTTGGCATATCAGTTTGTAGTTTGTATTTTTTGGCATATCAGTTTGTAGTTTGTACATTAGAGATAGGTAGAAAAAAATACAAATAAGTATTTCGGTATTTTATTACAATAGTCCATAGCAGTATTAAACGTGTGCAAATTTTTTTTTTTTGGATTCTCTCTATAAAAATCGGGAACTCTTTCAGCTTGTTCAGCTTCTTCAGGATTTTTGGGATTCTCCCTGTAAAAATCTGGAACTCTTTCAGCTTCTTCACGGGATATGACCAGGGGCTCTAGCTTCGGATCCTTCAAGTATTTAAAACAGATTTTGTGAATTCAATGATTTGAGAGCAACCATACTCCATAAGACCCATCCTGTTCTGCAATTGTTTCGGTACATCAGATAATTGCCAATAGATATTTTGGTATTTCTTTTTGTTTTGTTGAGCTTCATTGTTTTTCTTTGTAATCGTTTTGGCTAACGACTTTCTATCTTGTAATTTAATGATGGGATGACTAAGAAAGTAAGCAAGGCAAAAATCTAACAAGAAAATTTAAAAAGAACACGTAGAAACTTGCGGATGCTTGAATTACTAGATTATAGAGAGGTTGTTTACAAATGAACGGCATGAGGGTTATTTATACTCATTCCCCCTCCTTAATGGATGGTGGAGATCCACTAGATCATATGGCTAAGAATCCATATCTAAAACCCTCCATAAATTTCTACACGGTTCTATAAGGTTCTAGAATATTTCATACATCCCTATAACTACTAGTGTTATATACATGATTTTAGAAAATTCTATAAATTATAGAAAGCTATGGGAAAGTCCAAGATATGTCTAGAAGGATGTAGGAAACCTCATAAATGTATAGTAAAGTGCCCCGCGTAACATTAAGCAACGAAAAATTCTATTCACACCATATATTTTGTTATTTGCACCACATATTTAATAGGTCTAATAGCTTTATAGGTGGTGTAAATAGAAAGTCCATCATCATTAAATGTATTAATATTTATTATTCAATTTTTTTAGCCATCAAAATATTAATTTTTTTTTTTAAAAGAAGGCGACTGGCTGCCTTCTCACCAGAGAAGGCATCCCAGTTAAAAAATAAAAATAAAAAAATTCTGTCACCTTCTCCGGTGAGAAGGCGACGGACTGCTTTCTCAGCAGAGAAAGCGACGTTTCGTTGGTTTTTTTTTTTTTTAAATATTTTAATTAATTAAATATTAAATAAATAAATTATTAATTGCAAATTTGACAAGGTGGTGCAAATAGCAAAATGTACTTCATTTGGCTATTTATACCACATATTAATTATTAAAAGTTTTCGCTTTTTACAATTTCAAGATGTCTTTTGGTCAAAGGGTGGTGCAAATAGCAACACCCTTAGGCAACTCTTTTTTTTTTTTTTGATATTTTTCCATATAGCAGGCGTGTGCTAACAGGTTTAATAAGGTGTAATCATTCATTTTATTGAAAAGTCCTATCCTAATTTGTTTATTTAATATGTATGGTTCTATTTGACAAAACTTATTTAGGAGCTTATAGTTTTTTTTAAACTACTAAGCTTTGTTTGGTAATGTTTCCAAAATAAACTAGTAGTTTAAAATAAGTGCTTATTTTGAAACGTTACCATAGATAGGGTTTCAAAAATAAGCTAGTAGCTTCCTTTTTGTTTTTTTTTTTTTTTTTTCCTATCTTTATCCTTATTATTTTAAATAAATGACATTATTTACCTTTCCCAATTAGAACTCTTTTTGCATTTTCTATTCTCCTATATTTTTATTCAAAAATAAGCTAGTAGCTTCCTAACATTTTGTTTTGTTTTATATATTTTTAAATACATGTTCTTACTTTATATTTTATTAAAATATATTGGTTTTATTATTTTATATTTATTAGGTACATCACCCTGGAATAATTTTTTTTTTTTTTAAACAAGCATTTTGAGATGAAGAAGATTTGCAACAATATTGCTACTTCATTATGAGATGCTAGATCATGATTATGCTAATAGTTTCATTTCAAAATTTTAAATTTTAATATGTAAACAAACCTATTTAAATTTTATGAAAATATCATTTTTAGTCTTTTTATATTTATCAACTTATCAAAAAGATAATTTAACCAAACACTTTTAAGCACAGCTTTTCAGTTTTCAGCTTCTCACTTATAACTTTTCAACTTTCAGCTACATCAGCTACAGTTAAGTTTGTCAAACATAGTCTATAATTAATCTCATTGGTCTATAAATTATTTACTTTATTTTTCTCCAAGTTAAGTGTAATTATGATTTCGTCTCTTCGTTTCCTGCGTTGATGTTGCATTTGTTTAACAACTTAATACGTTTTGAATTTTGGCCGTTATGTGATGATAATTTTCACCGTATACAGCCTACTCTGTTTGTATATATGCACACAATTGAAAAAAAAAAAAAAAAAAAACACATTCACATTTACCACTGCTTTAGTTCTGTCTAACCTAAGTATCTTGAAGCTATTCAATGGCTAGTCTCTTCATCCTTGCTTCCCAACTATACTCACCCTTGAATGCACTAATAAAGTCATTTGTGTCCGATTGGTATGCTTGCTTGTATGAGGTATATATGAAAGCAAGAAACAAAAGGAGTATTTAGAAGAGAGCGTTTGTTCCATGATTGAGAGGTATGTAAATATACACATAAATTTTTTCATGTAATTTCTTTTTGGATTGTTTATGTCATATGCTATTTTAAATATTTTGAAATATAAATTTAGGGTACTTTCATACGTGCTCATATCTCAAAGTAACATATTCAGAAATAGTCTAACTTTAAGAAAGAAAATGTGTGGAGGCTTTGTTTAAAGTAACAAAGAAAAATAGAATTTGTTAGCAAGAAATCAAGAAACGAATGCATCGAGATCAACATATCATCTTCATATTTTTTCGGCGAACACCAAACAAAAACCTTAAGAAATTAATTCTACGGCTCAACAGCCTAACTTATTTTATGTAATTAATTGATAGGTCTACCTAATCTTTGAGTAGCCTGCAAAACAAGTATTTCAATCACTTGAAAAATAATAGATCAGTCATACCCTTGCAAGAACCATTAAGGAATTGACAGTCATCATCATTTATCCGCTTCAGCTGAGAACCTGTTGCAAGAACCTTTTAAGGAAATTGTATAGAATTGGAACCTGACA